ATATATTATTATTACAACTGGTGCTTTTCTTGGAAAATATCATTCTTATTCCTTATTACATAATTTGATGGATTAGTTACATATTGTTACTGGAAATCTGTATAGTTATAAAACAAACATTTAGCCTTATCTTAAACCAAGTTTATGTATACATAACTGATACTGATTGTTACTACAAATTATTTCATCATTGAAATTAATTGTGACACATTGAACATTGAATTATATATGAAGAAAATTTGGCGAGACTTTAATTTATGAACGACCTTTGAATGACCTTGTGAAGTATTAACCAATCAGAAAACCGTTAGTATAAAGTGAAAATACATTAAAAAAAACTAAAGAATTAAAATGGATGCACTTCTTCTACATGGTTTAAAAACTTGTCAACGTTTGTATTAGGTTCAGAGGTTCTAAAATCGTAAGGCACATGGTAGACGAAATCATCCATATGTCTCCATAATAGTCGGCCTGTGGGGTTGTGATAAGGTAAAAAAATCTCTTTCAGCCTCGAACACATAGCTTTAGTACTGTTTGTATGCACTTTCACTGTTGGGTTCGCTTGTGGACAACAACACGATGCACATAATCAAGTTTACTTAGGAATCTGTACGCTTTCTAATCATCCGTATACATTGTAGTACCCTGCTACAGTCAGTGTTACGGATGTTTTTATTATCCTATTCTCCGAAAATTTTCATAATTTGCCTTAATTTCAATCTGGATAAAGCAAAAGATCCTATTTTATCAGACTTCTTACTCTAACAGATATTACATCGAAATATAATATCATCACGGTAGTCTGCATTGTTGTAACGAGAGGGTGTGCAGGTTATTGATAAGCAGCGTTTATACCGATCGATCGCAGTGACACGTAAACACGTAATGAACGACCTAGTGTCCTGATTGGCCCTACTTCCCTGTCTATCCCAGCCGGATGAGTCCAGAACGCAAGTCACAGCCTCTGAGATATGAATCATTGTATTTCAGACATACTCTATTTATATACTAACCAAACATACTACATCGTACCATAAAAATAGAAAACAACATTTACACAATATTAAACAAGTGAAGTAAATATCGACCAATAGGGAATGTACATTTAGCGTCCAAGGACAACATTAGACTTAACATGATAACTATTGGTATATTTTTCTGCACATCCTAACATGCATAAGTTCCACAATTATCACTTTTTCTCTAAAATCCACTATGAACCGATCGTACGTGCGCATCAGACACTGAAATTGACGCTGTGGTCGCTTAAATACTTTTGAGTGACTCGTCCAAAAATGTTTACAATAAAGCTAGTTTCAGTTATTCTGCAAATTATACAGGAGATGTTTACCTATATTGACCAATTACTAAATATGAATCATATATATTTGTTTAGATGAGACAAGTGCTCATTGGAACAAAAAGAATTATTGATAGAAATTAATGAGTAACATGTATAACAGAAGTGAAGTTGAATTGTTATTAACCATGACAAATTGAATTTATACGGTTTTTATTCAAACTACAAGACCTTTAATTCATTATTGTATTGATTGGTTGAATCGTCCCATTGATAATTAAGGTTACGATTGATCTGTCTCTTATTAGCATATGTACATCATGTATGGATTGCCTCTATATTGCCTTAAATCACAAGCATTATAAGCAGAGATAGTTGGTGGTTAGTTGTGGAATTGAGAATGTGCGTTTCATTCTATTTGGGAATGATCAAATGGATGTACTTATAAGCGTTATCACAGTTAAATCGAAGAGTACTGAGTTTGAATCACAGAGTGAACACTAACTGTGTGATGTGGGTATATTCAGTTGACAAATCTCAAATAGGATGAAACGAGTGTTCTTTATTCCGTTGATAGCCACCATCCATCTTTGAGTACACGACTTTTCATTCAATCAAATATTTCGCAGATGTTGCATACACTACTATTATACAAACTGACTCAAAGTATATTTGAATGTGTTTTCTCTTAGTTTTATTGGTTCAGGAGGTTTTGGCTTATGGTTTTACAGGTTGGTCATTTGACAGTGAAACATGATTGATGATTGACATGAGATACAGAATTTATTAATCTATCAAATTTTTGAAGTAAATCAAAGCGCAAAATTACAGTTACTTGGTAGAATAGAAAAACCATACTACAATACTTAATTTGCAAAATGTTCATTTGTCTCGAACTTCATTGTCTTCGCATTTCTACACTAATTGCTTTCTACTCCTGCTCTTCCTTTCTTGATTTTCACCATCTTCTACAGCCAGATATTACATTCCTGACTCGCGTTATATACTACTTATATCAACATAAGTAGCACGCACAACAGTAGTAGTGATCAGAATAATAAAAAAGTCTAGTCAACAGTTTGATGTAGGAGTAGTAGATCAATTAGGGATCAATAGACATTATAATGATAATGATAATTTTAATGGTTAAATTCATGAGTCGATGTGAGCTGAACAACCATTGAAGAACTTGACGGTCGTTTCGTCCTGTTGTGGGACTACTCAGTAGTGTACGTCCACGATCCTCGCACACGGGATTCGAACCCAGGGTTTTCGGTCTGGCTCGTGAATACATGAAATCTAGACCACTGGTCTGGCATTCAGCGGTGTTAAAGTTTAACTTCAATCGATTCATGATCTTGCGAAACCACTCATCCATTGTCTGAGGTAGATACATGTCTCAACCCGACATTGATTGGTATCCATTAGTCCCGCGTGCGGAGTCGTAGGCAAAACGGTTATCGAATGCTTTCAGGTTTTTAGTAGTGGTCTAACTTATATTTAATCATGAATTCAACTATTTAAATTACTACAATCTCCACAAACTCCATTCTGATCATAATAACAATAATCACAAAACCTCATTAAATCACGTAATAAGGAGTGTGCAATTTTGTGAAAAATGTAAACGAAAAGAGGTGAAAAGTGATAAATAAATGCAGGTTATCATATTCAGTCAAGGAAAGCATATGTATGTCACGAGTTCCTTCTATAGATCCGGTTCCCTTTGGCTTCTGCTATATGTAGGAGACAAAATCGATTACTCTATATGATTTAGTTTTATTTATTATATGATCACTGCCATCCAGGTGTGCCAAGATAGAGCTGTATCTATCCATTGCCAAACCAAGCAGAGAAATGCTCGTTCATTCTTTGTTTAAGTTACCTGGTAGTATGTTTAATATAGCTATCTCCACAACAGCAACTGAATTTGTAGATGCACATCGGAGAGACAAACTCAGATAACTTTGAATAGATTTTACTGATCTACCAGAAAATGTCAATGCAACATCCTCGCTAATCTATCCTATAGAAGATTGTTACCCATATGCGTGTTAGCTCGTAGTGTAGTGAACAACAACATGAGTGGGCATAACCGAATGTATTCGAACACAAAATTACAGAGCATCTCAATAAAATCTGGGAACCATATAGTAAATAGTTAATTTAAGAAATACCAATCCATCGTCTCAACTTTGACTGTTCCTTTGTAAATATTAGTCCAATGTCCCAGATTTTATCGTTCATGCCTTTTCATCCTAATTGCGTTCCGTTCACGTTCTTTCCTTATCGATCTTCTACTGAAATACATTCTATGCCTGACCATCATTATATACTACTTATGTGGATATAAGTAACCTACACCATAGTAGTTTTATGAATGAATTCGATCACTAAGAACTATGATAAAATTAAATATATTTTCTTGTGTTATATCTGAATCGGTAGAAAATTTGTATTTGTGACATTTTGTGATTTAATGTAAGCCTTTTCTTCAAAGTAAACAAATGGTCAGCTATTTATTTAGTCTAAAGAAGTGGCTTACATGAAATTACGAAACGTCAAAAATACAATGTCTTACTTACTAGGATATAAAAAGAAATATATTTATTACTAACTTTCTATCTAATGCTCAACTTATTTGGAACGATCAATTTTAACCTTGGTATGGATACTTATAAATTGTATGTGTCGTCAGAATGAATACATATGGAAAAGAGTCATATAATGGTATAACTTGTAGCCTGTGTACCCTGTTGATGTATAGCGTAATGATACTGCCAATTAGAGAACAGTGAATTATCGATTGAACCAATGACTCATAAAAGCTGTACGGGCAGTCTAGAATCCTTATTGGTCCTGCTTCTAGCCTGTCCAGAACACTAATCTCAGCCTCTGAGGTATGAATTATGTATTTCAAACATACTGGGCTTATGTACAAATCAAACAAATCACATCTTACCATGAAATAGGAAACAACATTAGTACAAGAACCTACCAAATGTGACTGTAAATGTGGGAGATAGTAATTGATAGACTGGTCCATAACTCAAGAATGATAAATGGCATAATAATAGTTCATAGGTCAAAATAAAGCTCACAATTAGAGGGATACGAGTATGGATAGTTTAATTACTTATTAATTATACAATAAAAATATACTCATAGTATTGGTCCATCGATGGATTGCAAAAGTTACCATTCATTATACTAATCGAGACATAACATATATCTATTACAATAATATGTAGAGCTTATCCATGTCAGATATCTATCTCAGTACAATAAGTGATGATCGAGTCATTTCATGGATTGATTGAACTTAGACAACAGCACCACTGGATAACAGTTTAATAGTATAGATTTTAAACACTGTGCTTGAATCCCTTGAGCGGGATTATGTGCATACACAATTTTGAGTAGTCTCATCATAGAATGAAATAGTCGTTCAATTCTTTCAGATTTTCAATAATGATCTAACAACATTCATAAACTCCATCATCTCATGCATGTATCATGTTCATAAATAGTTATTATTATTATTATTATTTCTAATCATAATTATCATCATACAAATACAACGTGAATTGTGGATTGTTTTTTTCCTATTTTACAGTACAATCTATTTTCAATACTACTGATTTCCATTGAAGACAGTATTTAAAGTTACACAAAAAAATATAAAGAGAAGTACAATAAGAAAGAAAAAAGAAAAAAAGAAAAAAGAAAAAAAGAAAAAAGAGGTAGAGGAAGAAAAAGAAAAGAAAACATGATAGAATACCATAAGATTATACAATTGTTTTTATTATAATTATTCAATATCTAGATGAGATCATGTAAATGTATACAATTTATTATGTTATTATTATATATAAGATTAGATATATTCAATTCAACAATTTATTCATCATTATCATTAAATTGTATTTCATCTACATTATTATTATTATGCTCATCATCAACATCATCATCTTCATCAACAACTTCAAATGTATTCAGTTCATCCAAGTATAAAGCATTACCATCTATATCATCGAATACTTCCAAAGAGTTATCATATCAATCATCCATCAACAAAATCAATAATAATAATAATAATAATAATAACGATAACAAGAAGAAGAACAAGAAGAACAATAAAATGAATCATCAAGATGTATCATTGAAACCATTCAATAAACAAATTACTTATAGACTTATTGAAGAATCTAATATACCACAATTTATTGGTAATTTAATTAATGATTTTCAATTAACGAATTATTTATTAAATTATATATTCAATTATTCATTATCATCAAATAATAATAATCTAAAAATCAATACAATCAATCAAAGTAAACCCTTATTAAGTATTGATTTAATTGCTAATCAATATCAAATAATCAATAATAAGAATAATAATACTGATCATCTTCATTATCATTATCATGAATTACCACGTTTATATTTATTTCCATCTAATCAATGGAGTTCAAAATATTTTCATATAAATTATTATAATTTATTTAAACAAGAATTAATACAAATTAAAAAATTAGATCGAGATCAATTATGTCATTGGGATCATAATCCTAATAATAATAATAATGAATTTATAAAAGAAATCAATACATGTTTATGTTCGATCAATACATGTTCAATAATCAATAATCAATCAAATAATTCATTTAATTTACCTTATTGTCAATTTACAATTACAATTGCTATGAATTTATTATCAATTGGTATAGAATTAATGACAATTCATATACAATTAATTGATATAAATGATAATTATCCAATATTTCAATTATTTAATAAATATGAATTACATTTTATGGAAGATGCATTAATTGGTACAAAATATCAATTACCAATTGCTATTGATCATGATATGTGTTTATATTCTAATATCACTTATCAATTACAATCAATTAATCATCATCATGAAATCGATTCATCATTAATCAATAATAATAATGATCAATTGAATCAATCAATCAATTATTTTAGTTTAATATTTAATCAATTACATGATCATAATCGATTAGAAATACAATTAGATCATAATTTAGATCGTGAACAAATAGATAAATATGAATTAAATTTATTAGCTATAGATAATCATTATCAATTGAATGAAATTAAACATACAACTACTTTACCATTGATTATCTATATACATGATGTGAATGATTGTAAACCTGAATTTACTATAATCAAATCAATAATCAATAATAATAATAATCATAGTAATAATAGTAATCATAGTAATGAAGTATTATATCAATCAAATGAACCTTTATTGATAGAAGTATGTGAAGATGTACCAATTGGTTATATTGTAACAAAATTTCATGCAATTGATAAAGATATTGGAAAAAATGCTGAAATACAATATAGAATAAGTCAGTATACACATTCTTTAACAAAATCGGTAAGTCTCTCTTTTTTATCAGAATAGGTTTTGTGATTAAGTGCTCGCATGCGAAACCAATAGGTCCTGGGTTAAAATCTCGCGGGGTGCGGGATCGTGGATGCGCACTGCTGAGGAGTCCAATACTAGGACGAAATGGCCGTTCAGTGCTTGCAGGTTTTCTATGGTGGTCTAGCTTCAATTGACTCATGATTTCAATCGGTGAAATTGTCTAATCTTGTCGTATACAAGTGAAATTTGGATAGTACTCAATCTTATCTGAAATGTGTGCATGCAGTGTGTATTGCCTTGAAGTAGCCATTATGAAATAAGTTCATATAGAAAAGATGGTACTTCACTAATAGTAGAATTCAGGATGCGCAAAGTTTTGTTCTATTTCGGACTTGTTAGCCAGATGTATGTGCATCTCAGAGTCGATGTTCATTGAACTCATAACCTTAAAACGTTAACACTTTATTTACTTAACCACCGATTTTACATACCCATTTACTTGTGCATTGGATTTAAATTTTACTTTAAACTGGAATGGATTAAGTTGTCCTGTTATTGATATTTCTACTAAAATTCGACCAGCTTTATTTGTTAAATGTGCGTTCTGTTCGGACTGTTTTGACTGACCTTCTAGGCCCAGTAGTTAAATGGGTAACGCGTTGATATTATGGGTTCAAAGCACGGGATTTGAGTCATAGCATCAACATCAACTCTGCTTTGCAATTGTATTCAGATGACAGGTCCCTAATAAGACCAAATGTTACATATCATGCATTTCACTGTTAGCCACAGTACATCTATTCTACGTAAATATATCATTCATATTTTTCCTAATATTACCAATCGAAATATAGTAAAATAATTGAAAAATATAGTTTTCGAAACAGACTACTTTTGAATAGATTAATATTAAGACTCCTCAGTTGTGCACGTCCACGATCCTGAAACAAACAAAATCCAACACAGAAACCCCAATCTTATGACTGAACGCTTAATCTCCACACCACTAGGCCGTCATTCAACAGTGTTAATGTCTAACTTCAATCGATTCATGATTTTACTCAATCAATAATCCATTGTTTAAGTTTCTTGACTGTCTCACACTCAACACGAACTGGACTCCACTTGACACGATTTCTCGCTAGAACTCGATGAAATCCATCTTGAATCTAGTCATTATTGAGAAGATGATATTTATTATTAGAATGGGGACTTATTATTCATTTTCATTATTTCATACAAGTACTGGTACGACCGAGTACCAAAATAAATATGCGACACATGATTAAGAAAGTGAAATTGTGAAGAGATATGTCAAATAGAAAAGACGTATTTAACAGATAATTTAACAAGTAAAAATGAGTGACTTAATTACTTACGCCTGTTACTCCTCGTGGAAGAACATAGGCCGCCGACAATCACTCTCAATTCAATCCTGTCCTGAACAGTCTTTTCCAGTTCTTTCCAGTTGCTACTCATCCTCTTCATATCTCCTTCCAATTCCCGACTTAGTAAGTTCTTGTTATATTTGGTCGTCGCTGATTGCTGTGCCGAAGAAACAGTGACCACTTATACTCGGAACGAGGGACATCGGCAATTCCCACGATGCGAAAGTAAGAACAAAAAGACTGGTATAAGTGAAGATTTATTAGCCCCAAAACACTATGACGACGATGATGATCAAAATAGTCTAAAATACACTGATTTATATATTGATTATACACCCATTTTGATTAATACTTGGGATTAGATCACATACTCAGTTACAACAAATCACTTACTAAGCATAGTTCATGTCAAGTGAATGGAAGAATATCGTATATTATACAGAAGAAAATATCATACTGGGATAACTGTAACAAATACTACACTTAAATGATCCTCACGTTGAATCAGAAATGCATGTTGAATGTTGAATAAAACTTATAAGCAGTAAATCAATCGAAAATTGACATTTATTTCCATCATATCACAATTATACAAAAAAATATACGTTTAGTATTGGTCCATAAAAGGATCCCAAAGTTACCATTCATAATGTTTATCGGGTCCTAACACATCTCTCCTTTTTTTGAAGATCCGGATCCCCAATTTTCTGGGTTCATCCTCCCTCCCCTCCTTCTCACAGCAGACCCGGTTGAACTCCACTGGTCATGGCTTCTCACTAGAACTTCAGGATATATCCCTTGAAGCCAGTCACTAGTGAGGATATTTTGATTAATATCATAAGAGGTGTTTTGTGGATATTATAGCAATTTCATTAGTTGAGATCATGAATGTGTCGCTCAATTTAGTAGATTAGTTGAAGTTAGACATTAATACTATTGGATACCATCAGGCTCAATAATCTAGAGGTTAGGCGTTTGCCCGCGACACCAATCATTCCTGAGTACGAATCTCGCGAGATGGGATCGTGGATTCGCACACTCATATATATATATTAATAGTATCATTATAGTCTTTCTCAATTATCTTACACACTTTAAATATCATGGAATAATGTTGAAACAATCAACAGCCAGAAATATAATCTAAAGTCTAACCTTAAAAGTTCTTTAGTTTTAATTAATTCTAACACGGTTTAACCTTGTGAAATACAGGAAGAAAACCATTCATCAATCTTATTCAAGTTCATAATTCTCAATGTAAGTTGATATTAAATTATCCCTATACATGAAAATATGCTGCCATTCACCTTTAATTATTATTTCCTGTATCAAGAACAAACATTAGTATTAAAAAGAAAGATTGATTAATTGAGGCGTTTGTAGAAAATAGATATATAACATAATTAAGTTTTTGATAGTCATTTTGATATAACATTTATTAATATCAATAATCAAAATAGTTACTTACTAACTTAATTACGTCTGTTACTCCTCTTGAAGGAGTATAGGCCGCTCACCAGCACTCACCATCCAACCCCATCTTGGGCAAACCTTTTCAGCTCTTTCCAGTTATTATCCATCCATTTCATATGTGATTCTATTTCCTGACGTAATGTGTTCTTTGGCCTTCGACTTTTTTTTGCATCTTTTCACCATTCCAATGCAGTTTGATGATTTGCCTAATGTATGTCCTATCCATTTCTATCATCTTTTCCTAATTTCTTTATCAGCTAGAAGCTTGATTGTCCTCTTCCACAGCTGGCTGTTACCGATGATATTCGGCTAATGGATGTTGAATATCTTACGTATACAACTATTTATAAATATTTGTACCTTCTTAATGATGGTTGTAGTGGCTCTGGAAGATTCGACTGCATACTCTGAAACTGCTTTGACTTTCTTATTGAAGATTCTGACTTTGATATTGGTTGAAATAAAAATAGTAGTCGTTATTATTATTATTATTATTAGAATGGGGGTTTGTGGATTTATCTAATAAAATGACTATAATTTCTACAAATCCCCATTCTAATAATAATTATCATCTGCTTACTACTCACTAGATTCAAGATGGATTTCTTTCAGTTCTAGTGAGACGCAGTGACAGGTGGAGTCCAATCCGTGTCCAGTATGAGACAGTCAAGCAATAGATGAATGATTGCGTAAGATCATGAATCGATTGAAGTTAGACATTAACACTGTTGAATGACGGCTAAGTGGTGTAGAGATTAAGCGTTCAGTCATGAGATTGGGGTTTCTATGTTGGACTCCGTTTGTTTCGGGATCGTGGATGCGCACTACGGGGGAGTCTCGCACTACGATGAAACAATGATGCATTCCTTCTAGGTTTTCACTGGATGTCTAGTTTACATCGACTCATGAATTCAACCATTACTATTGCCTTTGCCATCAACATTACCATTATCATCTCATGACTGATTGAAAACCAAATGTTATTGAGTATGGAATTTTAAAGAAAATCCTTTATAGTGATTGTATAAAAACAGACGAATGAATATACAAACAAATTGATTAAATCTATTTAGTTAATGAAAATAATGTTTAGATTGATATAATGAATGGATCAATGTTAGACCATCATTGAAAACGTTGATTACTTGACGACCATTTCGTCTTAGTATGGGACTGTTCAGTAGTGAGCATCCACGATTACGCAATAAATGGAGTCTAACACAGAAACCCAATCTTCATCAGTGAGCGCCTATGCTTTATACGACTGATCCAGTATCCAACGATGTTAATGTCTACAATTGAGCACATTCACTTGTCTTTTCATTTTGTATAGTTGTGGTGTAATTCATAACATAAACAGTTATAGATAAACTATTGCATATACATGAATAAACGAATATGATTAATATCTGTATTGAGTAATGATGAGTAGAGCCAGTCCTTAGTAAACCTAGAATCTGTGTTTCATGTTATTTGTGAGTCATCAACAAAATGTATCTGAAATCATGTAAAAATTAACATTCCCTGTGAGATTTGATTCTTTTTCATCGTTTATTCTGAATTAAACACTGTTTGTTTTAAGTTCGTCGATGTGTACCATTGAGAATTCCTATATTAAGACTAAATGATCACTAAATACTTCTAGGTTTTCAATCGTTGTCTAGTTTACATCAACTCATGAATCCAATTATTATTATTATTATGAGAATGGGTTTTGTGGGGATTTTCAACCAGGTCTGTTGTGAGATAAGAACTGACTGAAGATAATGGTGTACGGTGGCGCAACTTCGTGGATTGGTTGAAGTAAGACATTAACACCGTTGGATTCCGGCCAGCTCAGTGGTCTAGTTGGTTAAGCCCCTGGCGCGAGACTGATAAGTCCTGGGTTCGAATGTCGCGGAGGCACGGGACCATGGACGCACACTGTTAAGGAGTCTCATAGTAGGATAAATGGCCGCCCAGTGCTTACAGGTTTTCCATCGTGGTCTAGCTTCAATTGACTCATGATTTCAACCAGTCAACCAGTGAAATTTCAATTATTATTATTATTACTTAAAATGATTTATATTCACTTCCAAATTATTAATCCATATAATCTGCCAATTGATAAATAGTTTAAGAGAAATGTTTATATATGTATAATTTATT